CAGTGAGCTGAGATTGCGCCACTGCACTTCAGCCTGGGAGACAGAGAGAGACTGTCAAAAATAAAAGGAATCTGTGCAGGACTTACGCATTTTTTTTGAAACTTTACACTAGGCTGCTATGCATAATCTAATTATCTTCCAGCTCAGTGGTTTTTTTGTTGTTGTTTGTTTGTTTGTTTGTTTTTAGATAAAGTCTTGCTCTTGTCACCCAGGCTGGAGTTCAATGGCATGATCTCAGCTCACTGCAACCTCCGCCTCCCAGTTTCAAGCAATTCTCTTACCTCAGCCTCCCAAGTAGCTAGAATTACGGGTGCCTGCCACCACGCCTAGCTAATTTTTGTATTTTTAGTAGAGACAGGGTTTCACCGTGTTGGCCAGGCTTGTCTCGAACTCCTGACCTCAGGTGATCCGCCTGCCTCGGCCTCCCGAAGTGTTGGGATTACAGGCTTGAGCGACTGCGCCCGGCCTGTTTATACAAATCGCTTCATATATACTAGAGCAGGGGTCAGCAAACTAGCACCTGCAGGCCAAATCTGGCCCATCAGCTAAGAATGGCTTTTACATTGTTAAGTGATTGAAAAAAAAATCAAAAAGTAACTATTTTCTGACACAAAAAAATTATATAACGTTGAAATCTCAGTGTCCATAAATAAAGTGTTACTGGAACACAACCACTGCCATTCAATGGCTATTTGCCAACTACACCTGCAAAAGTTGAACAGTTTCCAACAAAGACCACGTGACCGATAAAGCCTGAAATACGTGCATACTCCCCAGCCCTTTACGGAAATATCCTGTTGACTTACACAAAACTAACATAGTTGTGAGTAGGCATTTGGAAATACAGATGAGGTGTAAAGAGGGATGTGAGTGTAGGTGGTGGTAGACAGCGGGATTTACTTATGATCATTATTTTTTTTATTTCTTTTTTTTATTTTTATTTATTTTATTTTATTATTATTATTATACTTTAAGTTCTAGGGTACATGTGCATAACGTGCAGGTTTGTTACATATGTATACTTGTGCCATGTTGGTGTGCCGCCCCATCAACTCGTCAGCACCATCAACTCGTCATTTACATCAGGTATAACTCCCAATGCAATCCTCCCCCCTCCCCCTCCCCATGTAGGCCCCGGTGTGTGATGTTCCCCTTCCCGAGTCCAAGTGATCTCATTGTTCAGTTCCCACCTATAAGTGAGAACATGCGGTGTTTGGTTCTCTGTTCTTGTGATAGTTTGCTAAGAATGATGGTTTCCAGCTGCATCCATGTCCCTACAAAAGACACAAACTCATCCTTTTTATGGCTGCATAGTATTCCATGGTGTATATGTGCCACATTCTTCTAATCCTCAGTCTGTCACTGATGGACATAAAGTGCTAATATCCAGAACCTAACAAAGAACTCAAACAAATTTACAAGAAAAAAAACAACCCCATCAAAAAGTGGGCAAAGGATATGAACAGACATTTCTCAAAAGAAAGAAATTCATACAGCCAACAGACACATGAAAAAATGCTTCATCATCACTGGCCATCAGAGAAATGCAAATCAGAACCACAATGAGATACCATCTCACACCAGTTAGAATGGTGATCATTAAAAAGTCAGGGAAACAACAGGTGCTGGAGAGGATGTGGAAAATAGGAACACTTTTACACTGTTGGTGGGGATGGTAAATAGTTCAAACCATTATGGAAAACAGTTGGCGATTCCTCAAGGATCTAGAACTAGATGTACCATATGACCCAGCCATTCCCATTACTGGGTATATACCCAAAGGATTATAAATCATGCTGCTATAAAGACACATGCACACCGTTATGTTTATTGTGGCACTATTCACAATAGCAAAGACTTATAATCATTATTAATTGTAGGCATGCAAATAAAATGCAATTCCAGCTGGGCACAGTGGTTCACACCTGTAATCCCAGCATTTTGAGAGGCCGTGAGTTCAAGACCAGCCTGGACAACATAGTGAGACCCCCAGTTCTCTACAAAAAATTAAAAGATTACAAAACTATCCAGGTATGGGATGCACATATAGTTCCCAGCTACTCAGAGGCTGAGGCAAGATGATGGCTTGAGCCCAGGAGTCGGAATGTGTGAGCTGTATTGCACTACTGCACTCCGACCGTGGGTGAAAAAGCAAGACACTTTCTCAAAAAGAGAATAAATCCACCTCGGTTTTTCAGTCAGAACCATTAATACATAATGTGATTGAGAAAATATATATGTTCAAAACAACAATGAACAAGCATTGATTGCAGTTGTAAAAAGTTGCATCCAGTACATGCATCTTCGCCTACATTCACTGATCTTTTTCGTACTAATAGTCTTATATCACCGATGAATATGAAACCTGTACAGGGCGTTGAATACATCTCAGTGCAGTATTTTGAGCAGCTTCTGGTGTACTATTAGCTATGTATATAATGATTGTCATGTGAATGGATAGTTATCCGATGTGGAAAAGGGTCAGGCTTGGCTTCCTGTGCTTAATTTTCAGAGTATATCTACTCGTTCTGTAGTTTCTTAAAGTTTTCTATGTCTGGCATTTAACATTTTTTGTAAAAATGTGTATCTGTGTGTATAAAAATTAATTAATTGTTGATTTTAATGTACGCAAAGAAAGACAACGATTTTTTTTTTTTTTTTTTTTTTTGAGATGGAGTCTCCCGCTCTGCTGCTCAGGCTGCGGAGTTGGCAGTGGCGCGAATCTCGGCTCACTGAAGAGTTCCGCCTCCTGGGTTCCGCCCGCCATTCTCCTTGCTCCAGCCTCCCCAAGTAGCTGGGACTACAGCTCCCGCCATCCACGCCTGAGGCTAATTTTTTTGTATTTTTCAGTAAAGAGATGGGGTTTCACTTGTGTGACCGGAATGGTCTCGATCTCCTGACCTCGTGATCCAACCCACGCCTCAGCCCCTCCCCAAAAAGTCCTGGGACTACAGGCGGAGCCACCGCGCCGGCCCAGCAATGGTTTTTAAAAGTAACATGTAAGAGTTCAATGGTACAGGTTGAGGCTCGGGAACAGACTGTGGTTTTTGAATCTAGTTTTTTAGAGCAATTCTTATATTAGGCAAATAAGATATGTGGGCCAATAGACATTGTAACAATAATCTCATCAGAAAAACAAAGAAAAAGGTGATTAAATGTGCCTTGGAGTCAGCTGTGTCCAGCTGTCACCAGCCAGTACTACATAAATCCAAGCCAATAGGCAAATCTGAGCAGTGTACTTCTCTTACAGAAGATTATTTCAAACACGGGCATAAACACCGTTGCAATTGGTTACAGTCAAGGTTTAGCTTTTAGCTTAAAGTGGATCCTGTACATTTTTAAACCTGAGAGTTGGAATAGAGCACCCTGACATCGGACAGCTTGACTGTGTATTTCATCTGGTGCTGCTTCCTGTCCTGCAGGTAATAGAATAAGTAGGGAAATGCTCTCTACACAGGTGACCCATTTCGTAGCAAATCCACTGCATGGAAATGAGATCCCCAGCTTTACCAAGCAGCTGCGGTGCTCCCAGGCAGACCCACACACAGCACCACAGTTCTTCAAGTTCCTGCTAGAGGCAATTTGGTTAAACCCTCACAGATCATCCACCCTGATAAGCATCATTTTGAAAATAGATTTGGTTACCAAGATGCGAAATAATCATTCAATGCATAACCACTTGTAGAGCACATGGAGAATGTGCTTGAGGTACATTTGCATGTGCATCCGTATCATCTCTTTCCACTCCCTGATATAGGTATTTTCATGCCCAGTGTATACAATGGAAAACTGAGGTTCACAAGCATGATCCACCTCTGGTGCCTCACCTGGTGCAAATTCGAGCCAGCACGCAATTCTGTGTCAGAAGCATCCTAATCCAGTGAGGCTTGTGCCACGGAAAAGCTAAATGTGTCCCTTGCGCCTCTAACAGGCAGGAGCTTCACTATCTTAGAATGTTTTTATTCCTTCGTAAGCACACAAGGGTTTCAATAGTAAGAAATAAAACACATGATTGTTTCTGACAACTAAACTGCACGTTATAAAGGGAGCTGGATATTTTAAACAGCTTAACCAGAAATTGATTGCATCTTATTTTTAAAAGATTAATGCACTGCTTTCCTAAAACATAATTTTATTCCCTTGCAAATCTCTTCTGCAGTCTTGTCATCAATCTCATAAATGGTCCTCTTCTTTACTTTGGAAGAATGGCCCAGGTTGTGAGTCCTGTAGATGGGATGCTGGGAATATAGGATGCTACCAAGCATGAGAAACAATTTTTTGGAGTCTCCTTCAGGTTAAATAGAATTCCTGTCTTATGGCCGAGTGCGGTGGCTCACGCTTGTAATCCTAGCACTTTGGGAGGCTGAGGTGGGCGAATCACCTGAGGTCAGGAGTTAGAGACCAGCCTGGCCATGATGGCAAAACTCTGTCTCTACTGAAAATGCAAAAATTAGCCAGGCATGATGGTGCATGCCTGCAATCCCAGCTACTCGCGAGGCTGAGGCAGGAGAATCACTTGAACCCAGGAGGTGGAGGTTGCAGTGAGCCAAGATCGTACCACTGCCGTCCAGCCTGGGCAACACAGTGAGATTCCATTTCAAAAAAAAAAAAGAACTACTAAGTCTTCAAATAACAAAAGGCAGAATTTTATCATTTGCCTATTTTTTTTCCTTTTTTCTGATTCATTGTGATTAAGGTCCTGATGAAAAGAACTAAGTGATCAAAAGTACCTTCTCGTGCATTCACCATTAATAAAGGAGAATCAAAGTATCAAAAATTTTTGAAAATATTCATTGCATCAAGGGATTTAGCATGTACATTTGGGAAAAGATGAAATTATCTTGCTCATTTTAAGGTTCAAAGTCAATTAATACATGGCCTCTGTTTTAAGCATCTCAAGATGAAGGATTTAAGTAATCAGATTTTAAGGTGATTTTGATACAGGACATTTGATCTGTTGGTTTACAAGGGAGATTTTTTTTCCTCTTTCTCTTCTCTAGGCTAACTGGCATGAACCTCCCCTCTCCAGTTATCAGTAGCAAGAATTGGCTACGACTCCATTTCACCTCTGACAGCAACCATCGACGCAAAGGATTTAATGCTCAGTTCCAAGGTAAGGATGCTCCATCTTATAAGAAAAAAAAAAGCACGTAATAAATTTTGATCCTTTCTAGCTATGAAATTTTAGAAGTGAGATAGATAAATAGCTTGAAAATGGCTTCTAATTCCTTTATTCACAGTTATCTATGGAAACCACATAGTCAACAGCTGGCAACTTATTAGTAAAGCTATATCATTGTCACAGTATAGAGGACATGTATAGTTTCTTGTTACACTGGAACAACTGCTAAGTTTTCATCAATAGCCATTTATTATCATTTATTTTAATTGTTATGGACCTAATCTGTAAATATCCACAGCAGTTTGGCTATTGCATTTATCTTCATGCTAAGAGTGCTATAGCGTATAGGTTGCATGAAAAAGCACAAAAAGTATTGTAATATCACTTTTAATCCTAAAAGGCCTTCACACCGCATAATTGCCTGATGCAGTGATTTACACATAGTGAACCTTAAAAAGAAAGATTCCGGATTTCTTGCAGCGGAGCAAAATGGGGAGGGAGTTTGGTAATGAAATGTTCTTGTTCTCTTTGGTTTCTAAGGTTTACACGTAGATCATATTGTATCATTTCCTGTATGTTTCTAATAATGAGTAATCCTTGTTAATACAGCAAAAAAACTATTGAATTTATTAAGCAGTCCACTGAAAATCATTCCACTTCGATTTCCAAATTAAAATAACATGACCGTGCTTGAAAATGATAGACCTTTCCAATCAAGCTGCCTAAGCTTTCCCCAGTTGTGATGATGAGAATATTGGCCCCATTAAGGCAGCATTCCCTGAACACCTGCCACGTGCAGGAGAGGACACCAAGCCCTGCAGTGCCAGAGAAATGACAGCGTCCTCCATGCTCCAGAAGCTAGTAGGTCAGAGAGACAGTTTGTAGTTTGTAAATAACTCCCATGAAAGTCAGAACGCCAAGGGAACTCATTATAGCTCCTGCTGGAGATTCTAGTAACTTTTCAACAAACTGGTCTAAATATCGCTTATCTTACACATTTTTTTTTTTTTTTTTGAGACGGAGTCTCGCTCTGTCGCCCAGGCTGGAGTGCAGTGGCCGGAATCCATTTTGCTTTCATTGTTTCCTTCAGGATGACCAGTAGAAAAACAAGGGTCATTTGCAAGGAATGAAATACAGAGGGTGCTGAGAAGCACATATCATAACCAGCAGTTTTTATTTGCCACCCAATGCCTGGGGCACATGATGTACACAGAACTCACCTGCCTCAGAATCCAGGGGCAAATTAGTTTCAACGAAATATGTTTGTTGTTGTTGTTGTTGGGGAAGGAGGGCAGTAGACAGAGTCTTGCTCTGTTGCCCAGGCTGGAGTGCAGTTGTGTGATCTTGGCTCGCTGCAGCTTCCACCTCCTGGGCTCAAGCGATTCTCCTGTCTCAGCCTCCCGAGTAGCTGGGATTACAGGTGCACACCACCACACCCAGCTAATTTTGTATTTTTAGTAGAGACGGGGTTTCGCCATGTTGGCCAGGCTGGTCTTGAACTCCTGACCTCAGATGATCTGCCTGCCTCAGCCTCCCCAAAGTGCTGGGGGTTACAGGCGTGAGCCACCGCACCCAGCCTCAAAACATATTTTAGACTTCATCAGGAACATTTTCCGTCTCACCATGCCTTCTGATGTTGCCAGACGTTCTTACCTTGATCTCCTTTGGTTGCAAAGAAGCTGCCCTGAAATTTTACTGGAGTGAAACTAACGTGCTTTCCCTTCACCTGGGGCCAGGCCAGGCTGATCCTCCTTTTCCATACCTGCCTATATTTGCCTTTGTCTTGTGATGGCCATATACTCTGGCTGCAGTTAGAATGGAGGAAGTGTGGGATGGGCATATTGGTGGTGGGAGGTGGGCTCATCCTGAGACTGGGTGGGTGTGAATGAGGAAGACTCCATGTGGTCTGGTAGGTAAATTCTATCTGCGCTTCCTCTACACTGATCCACATCTATGGATACATCCGTCCCATCCCTGATTTAACATAACCATAAGTCAATATTTACAACGCCAATGGACTGATCATATAGTTACTTAGGTTGATTTACAGATTTGTCTCAAAGTGTTAATTGATCTTTTCCTAGAGCTCTCAATAATTGAACAGCATTGAACTAAAGAAAAATTTCTAAGTATATGTTTCTCAAACCTGATCAGTGAACTTGGGATTTGTATCTGTAATTGAAAGAAAGGTTAAAAATGGAATATCAAATTTGAAGCTGCTCCAAGATGGTAGATATAAGACACTTATTGGTTGGCTGAAAATAGCAATCACTTAGATGGATCAGACCTTGACTTTGAAAGTTTAAAAAATACAAAATTAATAAAAGTATTATATAGAGAGTATAAAATTATATAAACAACACAATTCTAGAATTAAACTATATGTACCTTATATACACTTCATTCTTTTATATATTATAGAAGTATAAATTATAATTACATAATTTATATATGTTATAATATATGCTTAATTATATATTTAAGTATAAATATTTATACTTAAATTATATATAAAGTATATGTAATTATATATAATTAAATTTAGATTTATATAATAAATATATAAATTTAGATTTATATATAGATGTATATGTGTATGCATATATATACACACACACATACTTTAATTGTATATATAAGGGGAGAGGAGTAAAAAATTTCGCATTTAATTCTAAAACGGTTAAAAGGTGTGAAGGTATCAGGAGAGGTAAGCCTGGCTTAACAGTAATGTATTAGGAAACATTTCAAGGCTGAGTTTGATGTTCACCTCCAAGACAACACGGTACAATGAAGTTACCTTTTTTTCATTAGCACATGGGTCTTACTGAACAGGGGGCTTCATGCTTATAACCACGTTTAGGCGCCGCCTGTGGAAGGTTAGGTTCAGTACTAGACGCCATCCTCTGAAGAAGAAGAAGGACCAGAGAGCAGCCAGGAAGATGACAAGACCCATTGGAAGGAGGATGGGAGGGAGCTTAGAGGGCGCAGGTGCCCAGTAGGCAGAAAGGCACCGCGATTATTTTTCTGACTCCAGAGGGCAGAACCATCACCAAGGAATGGAAGCTCCAGCGTGGTTGTTCTTGCCGATTCTAGAACAAACCTAAGGACACCAGAAGCTGGAGACAGAACAATGGCTTAGGATGAGATGGGCCCTTGTCAGAGTCCCTGCCAGCCGTCCAGTGGCCACCCCTCCACACGGGGCTGTCCTGATTTTTTGCAAGTAAGATCCTCAAGTTCGTTCCTTCAGAGGGCAAATGGGAAACCTTCTGTCACACAGGGAAAACATTTGTTCAGCTGAGTCTTCCTCTTGTCTGTACTGAGATTGAAAACCAGGAAGCCCAGATTGTGTTGTACTTTTTATCTCAACTAAATACATTAAAGAAGGAAAACCTGATATTACTTGTGCCAACAAAAATTGCAAAACAACAAAAAAAGCATAGTCAATTGATACTTGGGAACTAATAAGACAACAGCAATACTAGTGAAAACTTACCTAATGTAAACATTATTTTGTTATTTTCTTATCTTTCTAAATGTTCTGTCAAACAACCTGAATCATATATATGATATATTTAACCTGAATCATAAATATGATATATATGTATGTGTGTGTGTATATATGTGTGTGTATGTGTGTGTGTGTGTGTGTGTGTGGTGTGTGTATATATAAAACAGAGAAGAACATTTTAAAAAGAACATACATTTCTATTCTTGGCATATATTTTATATTTTTAACATTATTGTAGTCACCTTTATCATTTACGGTCATTTGTGAGAACATGAAAATTCCATCAGTGTTACTTGGGTTGATATGATTGCTGAGTATTTGGAATTCCTAGGAAACCCTTTGTGGTTCCTAAGCTGTAGTTGAGCCCCCTGATGGTCTGTTTCTATGAGAAACTGCTTTGTTATCCAGCGTGTGATGCTTGGACAGAATTGTGTAACTTCTCAAAAACAAATAATATATTCTTTTTAACTTGAAGCTTTTCTTGGTCAAATAAATGACAACCAACATAAAATATTCTTTCTACTCTTCCCTTATATTTTTAACTTTCATCTCCAAATTCTTTATTCTCTGAGTCTTACACTTTCTTCTTTGACTTTCACCTCTGCAATCATATAATCAAGTCATGCCAGAAGCAGTAGTAAGGCTGATTGACAAGTAAAACTGTTCTACAGTTGCTACTCTTAAAATCTATTCACTTTTAAAATAGCACTGTGAACAAAAGAAGTAGAAAATGCAGGGAAAAAAACCCACAATATATTTGCAATATCTTCTGTGTATATTGGGCTCCGGTTGAAAGACAGATTTATGCAGGACACATTATTTCTTTAAATCAGCTGAAAATTGAGCCCGTTCTTTATATGTTGCCTCCATCATTAATTATAATTAAGTAAGTGCCTTGTTAGCACAATCCATCATCTAGACGTTTTCAATGTCTACAAGATAAATTTTTTGAAAATATATTAATCTTGAACCATGAGGGCCCCCTCGCTACTAAATCGCCATCGAAGTGTCGGGTTCCAGTTTTACATACGTTTACCTGGCTATTTATAAAATTACAATTTTCACAAAATGAAATTCCTATTGATTTTTTGTAACTGATAAATCATTTTGAAAGTAAGTGTTTGTAATAAAATTCCAATTTATATAGGGAACATTCATCTCACAAATCAAGGGAAACCCTGACAGTGTCAATAAAACTTGTGTTGACACAAATAATTAGCTTGTTTTTAGGTTATAGTTTCCTATAACTATTGATTTTCCCTTTTAATTAAAATGAAGAACTTTATACCAAATGGAGATTTTCATGTTATTAGAAAGGCATTTTGAGTTATTGAAAGCCTCGTGTTCCCAGGTTATTCTAATTTAGATAAAACTCCCATATGCATTTCCCGTTCTCCAACGTTCACATTTTCTGCAATTTGAAATGCAGTTTCCAGAGCTCTATCTAGGACCCTACCTGGATTCTGGTGGCATGCCTGGCTGC